ATTTAGTTAATTAATCAAAACTGACATGTTAATGTGCACAAACCGACTCTATTAAGTTAATTCTGAAGCCAATTAATTTTACAGGTTTTTATTTAATGGTAAATGAGTGAAGGAGGGCCACATTTTTCAGATTTTTATTATGAAAAACGTAGAAAATCATGTTTTATTTCAACGTTTGTACCATAATATCCCCAATAAACTACAATCAAATTCTAGTTTTAAGGTTTTTATTTCAAGCCACCATGACTTCTCTATTAAAGTGGAATTTGTTTTAGAACAAAGCTAAAAACTATTATTGTTCCAAAACAATAAAAATCCACTAAAATCCCAAAACCACAGAGAGAAACCCCAAAAGCCTTTTCCCAACATGATTTGTTCCAAACCTTAGCGATTGAAACATAAAGCAATGAGAAGAAAATCAAGCCATAACATGTCATACTCCATAAACTAAGATGATGTAATTCATTAAAGAGCAAAAATAAAATGCAAAAATCTCCTGTTCCCAAAGAAGATGTTAATTAATCTGTCCAATTAAATTAAATATTATTTCAGTGCTTATGTTAGGACAGGGAAACCTGCTTAAGGAGTTATACTCATGTTTTATCTGTTGAGTTCCCCAAAGCGTTTTTTTTTTGTGGTTTTGCTTATTTATTTATCTTTTTATGGAGTCATCCTCCTCCCTTATTTGTAATTCTGAGTTTATCCACTATTCTTAGCCGGTCATAAATCTTTATGACCCAGATTCACCGGGCATATAAACACTCTCCTGGAGTCTATGGAGTCCAGAGCTTCTAAATTATGGAAATAGATTTCTTTAAGGGTGCAAGAGAAATCTATAGTGGCTCTTTTTTCTTGCATTAATGAGATATGGAGGTCATTTGGATTGTTCCCAGTTTACTGCTGCTGCAATGCACACACCTGTGGATGAGATAAAACCCCACAAAATGACTCCAACTCACAACACATAAACACAGGTAGCCGTTTCAGGAAGTTATAACTATGAGACATAAACATGGCGCTTTAGAGGCTGCAAGTTTGAGACGCTGAGAGACTCAGAAACATCGAGAATGATTCGTGAAACAAAAATAAACGCATTCCTAAAATACAGGTTTCTTCTGGTCCAAGCAAGCAGCCAGAACATGCTCCCTGCTGAGCGTTATTTATATATTTGGATAAATCTAATTATTCCTGCATGTTGCTGTAGGGTTGTATCAGAAATGCACTAATGCTCAAGAGCAAGATTTGTGTTTATGTAAGATAAATCTTTCATGGAAACCAGGCATATTGATGGTTTTTTGCACCACACTAATAATACAGTGATGTAATGAAATAAAAAATAAAAAACAATTTGCCTACCTTATATATTTTTGCTCTTTTTTTTCCTAAATAAGAACAAAAACTCTGGATCTGGCAAATGAAACTTTCAAAAAATAATTAGGTTATTTCTGAATTGGTGCCAAAACTTTCTAAACTGATGTTATCTGGTAAAAAGTCTATCCAAGTACTGAGTAAACTGATCAATCATTTAATATTTAAAAATTACACCATAAGATGGGCCAAAATATAAAGTTAAGAGGAAATTTTGGTATTTTAACAACCAAAATGACAATAACTCGTATAAGTAACAAAAAAAATTACAAAATCAGGCAAATAACATTTATTCCCAATCAATTTATTTCAATAAAAAACCTATGAAACTTTACAGCAGGTGTGTGTCTGTCTGGTGAGTTTTTGGTTAAAACATGTTTGTTTTTCAGTCAGTGGATAGAAAATCCAGAAATTTTACACAAGTAAGAGTAGAAATACTTCATCATAAAATTACTCAAGTAAAAGTAAAAAGTTAAAAATAAATATAATATAATAAATAAGTAGATGAAGCTAATTACTTCGTTCGTTTTCACAGCTTCGTCTTTTACTAAAGAAATACTGTAATATACTGTTAGCCAGGCATTAAAATGTCTTTATACTGTATAAAAATGTCAAACTGTAAAAAATGAAGTATTCTTTTTTTAGCTGTAGAAAGCAAAATAAATAAAAGTAAAAATATGATATGTTGAAGCTGCAATGTGATAAAATAAAATAATTTGGATCCTGTTTTTTTATTAACCATTAGGTTAGAAACAGACACTAATATTAGGAAAACATCACATAAAAATGTTTGGCCTTCTCTTTGCCACAAGGTGAGAACAGGAGTGGGAAAACAGTCCCTCTGATGGCTTCATTTAAACTTAACTCTGCATTAACGTCTTCATCATCATTACCAACACATTTAGTTAAGACTCTGTTCTGTCAGGCCACATGCTGTGTGTGAAGCCTTTAGTGGGACAGTCAAAACACACAGTTGGCATCAGTAAAAAATAAAAACTAACTAAACTAGCTGTTATTCTGGTGAGTTAGTACTAATGAGTTAGGTGAGTTAGCTTTAATGACCTTAAATACACTCATTGGTATAAATTTAATTTATTTGAGGCTTTTAATGCAGTGAAACAATAAAAAATGCAACTTCAGTCATGCTTAAAAGCAAGAATTTGATTTATTTACAGCAAATTTAGAATTTAGTTATATTTTTCTCAGCAAATTTAGCACCTTTTGTCTATTTTGATAACTAAACAAAAAAGAAAGGAGGAGCAAATATAACTAATACATCAAATATAAAGGAGTTCACTTCCACTAATACACATAATTTGGTGGTTGTTTAATTACAGAGTGATGCTGACTATTAAGGCTTAATGGCAAAGGTTACATGTTTGCAGTTGGAGTGGAGGATTAACATTTCTTAGTGTTTTTATAGTTTAGTCTTTTTATAGATTTGATGTTCATTAAACTCTCAGATGTCTTTATAATCTAAAAATAATAATGAAGCAAACAGAAATAATTATACCAATCAAGTGAAAGCCAGGAAAAAACTGTGAAACAAAGATGACTGAAATAATAATAATAAATAATAATAATAATAATAATAATAATAATAATAATAATAATAATAACTCAATGAGTAAAACCCAAAAACTAAAGGTATGAAAATCCACTCCAGCTGTTCAGAAGTTAAAACTAAAAACAACCAAGTTTTATTAAAATCTGTAAACTGATACTATTAAGTTTGTTTTCCAGTTGTTAAAAAAAGACTGAAACTGAAAAAAGCTGTTTGTTTTTTTCTTGTCTTTTAAAAAAAAATCTCTTTCAAGCTTTTGCTTTTTACACGAGCGCTCATGAACAGGAACATAAAATTTTATTTAGCACACTATGTCAAATTCGTGTCTCTGGCAAATTTAATTATCTAATCCATCTGGCAGTGAATAAGTTTTTAAAAAAATTACCAGCAAGTATCAGAGGGCGTCCACTCGTCACGTAAATACGCTGAACACGCAGCCTTTTTCTTTAACGAAGGCCAAAAATGAGCAGCTGATGAACAGTCAGTAAGTCCTTAGATATGATTTCCTCTGTATAACATAATAATCCCATCCTGAGTAATCACCTGCCCATTCAGCGTTGAAAATGGATTGATTATTGCTTAATGAAAGGTGCCGTGACACTGCCAGTTAGGGATGCTTCTGATTTAACAATATGCACCACCACTGATTTTCTTTTTAAATCTTTTTTGATTACTTCCAAAGTGGTATGGAAATTAGGTGCAGGAGAAAATCGAAACCCATCTGCTTGGTTAGGCGCTCGAACGTTGGTTAGATTTAGCGAGTTAATGCGAACGCCGAGCGTTTGATTAAAATACTCGAGCATGTAGAAGACACTGAATATGGAAATGTGCTAATAAAGTCTACCTGCTGTGATACGCATGATGTTCTGGGAAAACATGAAGTAATGGCAACAAACAGAAAGAAGAAGTCCTTCAACTTCCACCTAAGCTGTGTTTTTCATTAATAATGTTAAATTAAGCCTTCAAAAATTCCCACTTTTATGTTTAAAGAGGAAAAAGTTTTGAATACTCATAATTAATAAAAGTACAAAATATTTGTATCTAGTTTCTAGCATGAATATCTTAAAATACACTTAAAAAAAAGCAGCTGTTCAGCACAATATGGGAACTTCTCTTAAATCAATAATTCCTGATTATGTATGAAAAAGTATTTGTTATAAGGGAAATAATCTGCCAGTTTAACAAAACATTTTGGGAAAATGTCTTGATTGTTTGACTTATAACTAGTAGGTGCATCAACATCAGTACTAAGCAATTACTGACTTGATGATGCATTTTGCTCAAAATGAGCTTGTTAGTTTTGCCTCATTTCAGATATTTGCACTATAAACTGGACCGTGTTTTTGCAGTGTAGTTTCAGTTTTGGAGAGAAGAGTTGTGGAAAAAACATTTAGTTCTGTTAAACACAAAATCTTAAGTATTTTTTGTCTAGTTTCTAGTTACACTTGAAATAAGACAAAAGTAACTTACAAGTTACTTTTCAGGAAGACATAGAAGCCAGTTTTGAGTCAATAATGTCTTAATATTAATGAAAAAGAATAGCTCCAAAAGCAGATTATAGCGGGAGTTCAGTTTAGGTTGCTAGGTGACGGGCAGAGTTCCACTTGGGTTGCTAGGTAACAGCCTGGGCTTAGCTGGGGTTGCCAGGTGAAAGTTAGTGGCTGCTAATTTGTGACGCTACATTCAGGAGGTTTTTTCAAACGGCTCATTTTCCAGACACAAGAGAAAAAAAAATTGACCCTAAGGGTCAATTTAACCCTAACCCTTGCTAAACACCGACTGAATGTTTTTTTTGTTTTTTCATTGGTCTTGTAGAACCAAACTGAAGTACAAACACGTACAAAATTACACGTCAACACAAGCCATCCAGTGAGGATTAATTTGTGACGGCTGGTGTCTGCAGAAAAGTTTTATTTCTTTGAAGTCATGTAAAAAAATAAAACATTCTTTATTCACTTCTGTTCCTCATGTAATTTCAGCAGCAGAGTAATCTACTACTTCATAAAAAAACATGAAAGTGCTCCCGGTTGCATTTCATAAACTTCACAAAGTGCCTACCTGTCAGGTTTTTTTGTCTTGCTGCTCAGTCAGCATCATCGCCTACAGAGGACTGAACACTTGATCTGCATCTCAATGCAGCTGCGATTCGGGCCGAACAGCCCAGCAAATTAAGCCTTTGTGGAGTCTGATTCTGCGGAGAATTTATATTCGAGTGGCTCACCTGTGAGTTGAACCTCAGCTGGCAGACGCTGCAGGACACATGCTTCCTCTTGGCTGTGGGAGGGATGCCCAGGGTGTGATGGAGGACGGCTTTCTGCACCGGGTCCATCTGGAGGACGGACACAGACAGACAGACGCGCAGGCTAATTAAAACGGTGCTAAAGCTGACTTGTAAATCCACCTGACTACGCAGACGCTCGATGGGCTGTGAAGAGAAAACAGGTTGCCTGGAGCGATCTGGAAAGCTGTGTGTCAATCTTTCACCTCGGTGGGTGAATTCAGGCTTTTTCACAGGACTAAGTGCTTCTTTCAGCCACACGGAGAGTTTTTACTGACCGTAGGGTAATGGCTGCTGGCAAAGTCCTCAAGGGGATCATTCAAATGATTCTCCCTTATTGCCTCTAACTGTGTTTTTCACTACAATAGTCTAGGTAGAAAGGGAAAAATGTTTTGGCTATTAATATCCTGACATTATTAAAATTTTTAACGTATTGTTTCCTCTTAGATAGAGGTTTGCTGCATAGTTAAAGTCTTTCGAGAAGAGTTTCTGCTCTGATTTAATGAGGTTGATGGAAAAAACCTGTCAACACTATGAAAGCAACGCAACAGTGGTATAGATGTATGAAAACCAGAGACAAAGTTCTGGCTTTTCTCCAGAATTCTGATCTTAATCTTCTGAGATTAAAATCAGAATTTTGAGTATTCTGAGATTGAAGTAAGAATTTCAAGAAAGAAAGGCCACAATTCTGAGATTAAAGTCACAATTGTTGGAGGAGGTGGGGGGAGGAGTTAGAATTGTGGGATTAAAATTAGAATTCAGAGATTAAAGTCAGAATTTTGAGAGAAGAAAATGTCAGATTTCTGGGATTAAAAGTCTGAATTCTAAGAAAAATGCCATAATTCTGGGGGGAAAAACTCACAATTCTGGGATGAAACTCAGAATCTTGAAAAAGTCATAACTGTGAAATCATAATTCTGGTTTTAAAGTCAGAATTCTGAAAATAAAAATTAAGCATTTGGAAATTGAAGTCATAATTTGGAGATTAAAGTCAGAATCCTGAGAAAAATGTCAGTTCTGAGAAAAAGTATCATAGTTCAGGGATTAAAATCAGAATTCTGAGAAAAATTCCTAATTCAGAGGGGAAAAAAATCAATTCTACAATAAAATTATGAGAAACACCTGAATTTTTGGGATTAAACTCTGAATTGTTTTTCTTCTTTCAGTGGCCCTAATCCTCTTCCCAACCACTCACAGTCACTCTCTCCACTCCACACAGTAACGTTTTTCTGTAGAAAACAAGAGTCATAATGTTTTGTAAAGGACTCTGACTTGTGACAAAGCCGGATAAACAAAGGTCATCCCACATAATGAAACCGTTTACCCAGCATTATTCAGTGATAAACACGCATTAAGAGTTGTACGTCCAGAATAACTCAGCTTGAGGGAAGAAAGCTCCTTGACAAAAACAAACTTTGCTCATTTATCTTCTCGCCGCTGCTGGCGGCGCGGCAACTAGCAGGCGGCGTGTCGCACCTCGGGTCCAGCCTAACCTCATATCTCACTTTTCCACTCTCTGCTCATTAATCTAGCAAAGCAGAGCACAAACACTCGGCAGATGTTTTATTTTGAAGTGCAGCTCCATGATATGAAGCAGAAGTGATACCAAGCTGTTGCTGCGCAGATAATAAGCTGGATGGACTCATTGTTCACTGACAAAGGAAGAAGAAAAATGTCCGTTGGCAGAACATGCGACACACAAAAGAGCCGCTGCAGCACAGAAATTACATGCATTTTGAGCTTCCTGCGTCTGTGAAACTCTAAATTGTCTGTTTTCTTTTCGCTTTCCGAAAAGAACCAACAGGTCCGTCTGACTGGGGAAACTCTCACAGTGGCCTCATGGCGGGAGAAAGTGGAGACGTGTTGGCACAGCGTGGGAAGATTAATCAATCTTGACAATTGTTCAGCAGAGTGTAATGATGTTAGCTAGTTTGAAGAAACATCTCAGAGGTTAACCTGAACTGCAACCCAAAAAGAACCAGAAGGTTCTTATTTGGAGGGGTCTGTACAGAGCTGGTAGGAACTAGTTACAGTTACTCAATTACATTTACCTACTTGCTGAGACATTAGTCCTTCAACCCTGGAAATGTTCTTCAGGTGATAGAAGGCCGACTTTGTAATTGTCTTTATGTGACTCTGAAAGTACATCTAAAGAATTACTCAAGTAAGAGTAAAAAGGAATTTGCTTAAAAAAAAGTATACTCAGGTATTGAGTAACTGATCAAAACATTTAATATCTAAGCATTACTTCATCAGATGGGCCAAAATATAAAGTTGTTTTATATTTTGGAAATTTTGGATGTTTTAAGGATTAAAATACTAAAGGAAAAGTAAAAACTACAACATAGTAAAAATACTAAAAGAAGTAAACAATAATTCAGTTTTCAACTAAAAGTTAGTAAATGTGACTAGTCTTCATGAATGTTTATGACTGAAGCATCATTCAGTTAATAATATTTTTAGTGCAATGTTAGATTAAAAGCTGCATTAAAAGTGTGAACTTTGCATTATTTGGTAAATAATGACACTTTTAAAGCATCAACATTGCATTAAAAATGTCATTTTTGACCGAATGACACCTCATAACAACCGTCATAAGGATTCACAGAGTCGTTCACGTCTATGACACGTCTATGACAGGTGTTACGTCAGTCAAATAAAGTGTTACCATTATGGTACACCGGTACTTTTTCCTATGTTTATCCTCAAGAAATGTCTTTGAAGTTTTAATTGTGAGCAGCAATGAGCAACTAATAAAAACAGGCAAAGAGACATTTCACCAAACAGAAAGTAATCAGATGCAGCTGGAAGCGTGAACCTGGAACAGAGGCTGAACGCCGGTGTCTGTAAGGAGCAGCTGGGTGGGAGGCTTTGGGGTCAGCTTTGGGGTCAGCTGACGCCTGGCTGAGGTCATCTGACTGAGAGCAACCAGAGGTCAGCCTATATCAGACTCTGGATGGCTCCGGTGAAGGAGCAAAAATAAAACAATCTGTTAAAAACCTCAGTTTTTAAAGGCTGTTCAATATCACAAGTTAATGTCAGGGCTGAAAAACGACACAATAAGTGTTTTATATCAGTCAATATCAATAATTATTGATTCATTTTTAGTTTTAAATATCTAAAATACTGCTTGACCTTTCCTTTTTTATCCAGTTTTAACTCCACGCCATTGTTTTTCTAAACAGTTGATTAAAGGTGATTCATAACTGCTTATGAACTAGTTATGAATCACCTTTAACTGCTGCCGTTACTCAGCAAGTTGTTGCTAGGTAACCACAGAGTGAGTGAGTTGCTAGGTAACCACAGAGTGAGTGAGTTGCTAGGTAACCACAGAGTGAGAGAGTGAGTTGATTCCACCAACTTTTCTTTTGTCTGGTCGTAGTTAATAATGTCTTTTCTCTGCCTAAATCCCCCAGAATGGAAACTATTTTGGTCCAGTTTCCACTGCAAATATCTTATTACACTTGAAATTACAGAAAACTAATTTATAAGTAACTTTGCAGCAAAATATAGAAGTTTGTTTTAATTAAATAATTAATATTGATGAAAAATACTAGTTCCACCGGCAGATTATTTCACTTATAACATGACATCCTATGTTAATGAAATAATCTGCCAGTAGAACTAGTATTTTCCATCAATATTAATTAATTATTTACATAAAACATACTTCTATATTTTGCTGAAAAGTTAGTTTTATCTTATTTGAAGGTATGTACACTAGAAACTAGACATAAATACTTGGTAATATTTTGTGCTTTTGCAGTATATGTAGAAAATTAGCAGAAACTATCGAGCGACATTAAAGGAAACATGACAGATCCAGTTCTTCGTTATTTTACTCTGCAGCTTCGGATTAGAAACTGACTGGAAGATACAGAGTGGCTCCAATTTATTCAAAACATTAGCTGTGGCATTTCTAAAGGAGAGGATGAAAAGAAAAAAACATCTGAATAAAAATTTGCTGGAAGAAGAAGACTGGAGCAGAGAACGTTATAATTTTAAATGATTAGATGAAATGTCACGGAAACAGTGGTTGACTGAGTACAAACGCCCAGAAAAGCAAGTTTTTTTTTCATTTATAATGTTTTCCAACCTAAAAAAGAAATAACTTTGACAAAATAAGCTAATAAAAAGATGATTTCTTTCAAAATACAAGCACTTGCTCTTATTTTAAATAATAATCTGTTGTGAGTACATCTTTTTTATGACTTTATTTATAAATCTCACGCTTTTTTTCTTGTTTAATATTGTGACTAAACCCAAACTCTACCTTTCTGCTATAATAAATATTCCTGGCTTTGTAATTCAAATCTCGCTACAATAAAACAATAATTAAAAAGTTTAATTGAATTCCTGACAATGCCTCTGGAAGCCACACAAAGTTCTCTTAATACACTCATAATCCTCTGTAGCAAACATAAGCAAGAGATTTAATCTAATTACATCTCTACAGTAGATAATGCTGCTCAACTCTCCCAAGTCAGCAGATGCACAAAGACGATTTTGTGGAGCGATTGTAACCATTAACACATACAAATTACACCTTGTCAATGACAATCAGAGAAAAATGGCGATGCAGCAAAATGGATAAGTTTTAAACAGTCTCCTGCGCCTCCATATCTGGGCCCAGCAATTAGCAGAAGCTTCCCGCCCCTCAGAAATGGAACATAATTGATGCCAATAAAGCAGAGAGAAAGCAATAAGAAGATAGCAAAGCATTTTCAGGTACCCATTTCCTCAGTTCATTTTGTAATTAAGGAAAGTGAGTTATCTGGAGGTCAAACTGAGGTCAAACTGAGGGCTTCGACACAGAAAAACTTTCTGACATGTGTGAGGGGAAAATGAAATTCTATTTCTTTCAAATTCAATAATACTTCACTGATCCAATGGGGAATTAAATAAAGACTTCCACACCAAAAGCTGGCAGATTTAGGAAGATTGATCTGCTATTTTAAACAAACATGAAGCTAAAAGCACCACTGGATTTATTAAGAAAATAACTTTTGTAAGTGTCTGTTTCAAGTTTCCGAAATCCTGCAACTTTTAGG